GAGATAGAGGTAGAGGTGCAGGTGCAGGCAGAGGTGCAGGTGGAGGCAGAGGTAGAGATAGAGGTAGAGGTGCAGGTGGAGGTAGAGGTAGAGATGGAGGCAGAGGTAGAGATGAGGTAGAGGTAGAGGTAGAGGCAGAGATAGACCATTCCGGAAACTGCTCCGCTTGTTTATGGTCCAAGCTCGCTTGTCGAAGCGAGTCGAAGCGAGCCCTCTTTCCTCTTCCGAGCGAGGCATCTAGATCTCCCGACTCGATTGATCCTTAGCTAAACAATCCATCCCTACCTCACTTAACACCCAATCCAAGATTCATACACATGTTATCTCTCATCCTGATAAATCACTTTAGCTTATAATAACCACTGGGACGATTAATGGAACGTAATCTATTTATCTATATGTAAATTATAGTTTTAGTTATGTAACGGACTATTTAAGGAAGAGGCTTCGTCTCGAGTTTTGTGACAGATTGAATTATATATTAAAACATGACTGGATGGGAGTAGCAGAGAACGCTAGCGATAGATAGACCTATCTTGAAGATGCGTAAATTGAGTTTATAGCTTCTTCAGTCAAGCAAAGCGAGGAAGAGCCAGCACATCCAGACCCTTTTTCGGGACGCCGCTTAGGGATTCTGCTTCCGTTGTTTTTATTGAAGATGCCGATGTTGGTGTCGGTATCGGTATCGGTATATGAATACAGAAAGAGACTATTGACGGCTTGACTGCCTTTTACTAAAAAAGGGGGAGGTTGGAAGATGTACTCTGCGTTCCACACTGCAGAGTGTTTCCCTTTAGAGAAGAATAGAATGGGGATAGCGATCTCTGCTTGCTTATGATTCCTCCGTCGGCAGAGTTTACAACAGCTATGCGGAAAGAGACAAAGGGAATGTGCACGCAACGGGGCTTGCTAAAAGAAGGGGACGGCGTGCTGGAGTGACATAGCGGGTTATTGTTGAGTTGAACTGTTGTTTACATGGGAGTTGCTGTCGTTGGAAGAGGATGTTCGGGTTGAGAATCAATACCACCAACGAAGATTAAAGAGACTGACTTTATATACAAGTACAAGCAGGAAGTAAGAAGAGAATCTACAGGACGTCATTAAATTCAATAACTACTTGGCCCATTGCACGTCCACGTAATGTCACCTCATAATCGTCGCCTCCTTACATCCTTTCAAGGCTGCATGAACGAGCCGAGCCGTCGGTTAATAGATAGGTAGGACTTGACGTCGCAACTTAAGGGGCCCTTCTTAAAGTGGGCGAAACAATCATGTCCCGCGTCAAATGCTTTCAAAATCAAGCGAAAATCTAGTAAAATTTACGATCTCAATCGCGTGCATCTCAACGAATATTATAGCTATAATAATATAAAAATAATATATTAAAATCGAGACACTCGTAACTTGTCGACAAACAAAAGATCTATATATCAATATACGTTGTTGGCTTCGAAGTAAAAGAACATGTAGATTTTCAAAGAGGTTTATATTTATTCGATTTTTAAAGATTTAATCCGCTTGAATCTGAACAAATATTAAAGCTGTAATAATAAAAACTATATAAATTGAGTCGACATACTCGTAAAGTATCGATATATCAAGATTTCATATACTAATTTATATTGTTAAGCGTAGAATTAACGGAGATAAAAGGTTTTTTTTAACGCTTTTCAACGATTTTAACGATACGATTCTGGCAAAATGAAGCTGATCTTTCGTCAAACAGTAATATATTAGAATCCGCATAACACGATAACCAATTATATTAAAGTATTAACAACTAAATCAATAAATCCGTATAATCGTATTTTAATAGAACATTAAATTTCCATCAAGAAACTTTTAGTACACAAAAAAGAAATAAATAATAATTCCATTTTCGACGCGAGACATGCTGTAATTGTTTCGCGGGATATGATTGTTTCGCCCACTTCATACATACTGTAGAAGGCCCTTGAAAGTTGCGACGTCAAGTCCTATTATTACCTACATGCATGCAGCTCGCTAAGCGACAGGATCACTAAGTCTACCATAAGTACACACATACGTAGTAAGTACCGATCAGCCATGGACTTCCCACCAAAATAGTACAAGAAAAACATACCCTTACAACCCTAACAAACAGACCCTGATCCTAACCCAGCGCGCAAGCTCGCCCTTGCCCTTCGAACCCTTCTTCTAACCCCAAACCAACCTGCCTCTTTGGCGATGCGATTCTGCGTGTACGGTACTTCTCCGAATCCGAGACCCGGGCCCGCTACGATCGTGCACGGCTTTAGCGTACACCGCTTCAGGATCGCCCGGTGGGGTTGGTTGTATGGTAGGTAGATGTAGCAGTTTTATTTGGTACGGTAGATTTAGTTACTGTAAAGCCATCAAACCGTCCAGTTTATCTCCGATGAGATATCACAGGAGCCAAGTTCGTGACTGGTCGACTGACTTTAGACAAGACACGACGCGGGACTCCCCGTTGCGGGCAGATAACCTTATCTGTTACTTATCAAAGGGCCGATCCGAGGATGGGCATTGGTCGTCGGCTTCAACGCCAACAGCTAAAAAGTACGGAGGTACGGAGTCCGCCGTACATGAAGTGTTAGCAAAGGGGGATATAGCAATCAAAATTAACCTATGAAGTACAAATTCAAATAGCCAGCTTGCGATTTTTTTTTCTCCGAAAATCACGTTACTACTTGGCTGGGCTAAGCTGAGAGCCTATGCCTTGTTTGACTAAGGCCACACTTCACCGCTGTATCCATCTCCCTATGTGTGAGCTGGTTCTATCTGTCGTACACTTGTGCGAGGTGGCGCGATCACCGGTGTTTAGAAATTGACTCCAAGCTCAACCTAATTGAGAAGAGAAATGTGGACGTGGTGCCAATTGAAGGAGGATCATTTCTTAGTCTATCTCTAGAACTTTAGACCTAATTTTGACCATGGCAAGTGTATCAGAACATGTCTAGAAAAGAACGACGTCGTCAAGCCTGGGAAAACGCCTGGTTATACAAGTTGCCCATGACCATATTTTACATGATCACCTCGTTGGAAACATCCTGTCCTCGTTAGCAACAGTATCTTCAAGAGGAATTGAGGAACCTACCCGCTTCAACTCCTTGAAAGGCAAGCAAATGCAATTCTGAACCCGGACCTCGTCTCCAACGCCACACTCCTTACCAAGGATAGTGATGCTCTGGACTTTGACGCCGTTCTTGATGATGCTAGTCGTGTGACTGTTGACAGGTGTAGGAGTACCTTCAACACGAGACCAGGCACCAACTCGGCTGTTCCACCCAATGATGGAGTAGAGAATGCACGCATCGTGCTTGATCTCCGAGTCCTCTAAGACGATAGACTCCTTAATTCTGACACCAGCCCCAACTTGGGCACGAGGACCGATGGAGACATTGGGGCCAAGCTTTGCGGTAGGATCAACCGTGGCGGTAGGGTGGATGAAAACTGGTGGGAGGATATTCGCAGATGCCTTGGCCAGCTCTGTCGATCCCGTCTGCCAGGCCTTTTGCAGGTACAGCGCGTTGGCGGGGACAGCTGAGCCAGCAGTCTTGATCTGTCTCCAGAAATCCTTGGTCTCGTAGACAAAAAACTGCTTGCTGTCTGCCAAATCACTCAAGATATCCTGCTCCAAGCGCAACACCCTGTCCTGCTTCTCTGCATCGTCGTCTTCTTGGAAGAAGGAAGATTCGAGGTTCTCGGAGGAGGGGTAGGAGACGAGGCGGGGGCGCTCAGTGCGCTTCTTGATAGCGCTGCGGATGGAAGGGAAGATGCACTCGGTGGCAAAGAGGTAGACGCCGCAGTTGATCAGGCTTGAGATGTGCGATTCGGGCTTCTCGACGTAATGCAGGACTCGGCGGGTGTGTGCGTCTGATACAATGCACCCAAAGTTGCTCGCGGCATCCTCGCTCACCCGTGTGCCCAAAATCACAGCCTCTGCGTCCCGGTCCTCGAAAAGCTTGAGCATGTCGTTCAATGGAAAGGAGCAGCAGACGTCGGCATTGAGAACGAAGAAGCGCTCGGGCTTGCCCTTAAGAATCGCATCGCGGAAGTGGTAGAGGCCTCCGGCCGTTCCCAGAGCTTGGTACTCGCGCAGGTAGAAAATCTTGAGCTGGGGGAATTCCTTCGTGGAGTCTTTGATGAAGTCGCGGAAGACGCCCTCCTCGTAGTATCCAATCATGCATACTTCCTGGATGGCAGGGACTTTGGCGATAGCGGTGAGGCAATGCCAGACAATAGGATGCCCTGCAACTTCAAAAAGGGGCTGTTTGTTCACCTGGAGTCAGTTTGGATGTCTTGGGACAAGATGCGCGGGGGGGTGTACCTTTGGAAGGTCCAGCGATAGAGGTCTGAAGCGGGTTCCTCTCGAGGGACCGCCAACCTATAATGTCCGTCAGAGCCCCCCTTCTCCATGCCTTCTCCTGCCCAGCTCACCAAAATGACAGCCTTGGTGGTGGCGTGCGAGCCATTGGCCTTTTCCCGATGGGGGATTTGTAGAGACATGTTTTCTGCTCCGATTCTTGGTGTTTGGGTGTGACTTGATGTCGCAGTGGATCTTGATACTGACTTTCGAGCTGGGGGAGGTCGAGCGGAGCGGAGCAGGGATCTAGACCGACCACCCAGAGGCTAAATCACCTGTGGCATGGTCACGTGTGGACGGACTGGAACTTCATCTCAAAGCTGTGACCGGGTTGAATACAAACCTCATTTGGCCTTCAACTATCCTGTCCTGTCCTGTTCTGTCCTGTCCCTGATATGAAGGCATAAATATGGCAATTCATTCAAAGCTACCAGGATCAAATGTCCGGCCAAGCCAGGCGATCTCCTCTTTCAAAAAGCCATCGTGAAGGCATTCACAGCAGCTCACGGCTCTGCCATACAAAAATATATGTAGATACCGTGAACGGGTGTGAATGTTTGCTCAGGCGTCGGGTCGGCGGCTGCAGGCTGCGCTCGAAACCACATTTTCTCTATCCTGCAGCCCTTATCATATTCCTTGCTCTGTTAGAGCCCTCTCGAGTCTTCTCTGCTTCCAGCATGCCCGAGATCAATATTTGCTGTTGCTCCCCACCAAAACAGATCTCGGCTATGGTCGCTTAGGAGATGGTCGAGGAGCATTTCAACAAACAACTCCTCGATCGACGGATCAGACCGCAGCTGGGTAGGGCTCGACTGGCTTTTTATTGGGCAGCAGGTAACGAGATCCTTGATCGGCTCATGCCACATATATACCATACATATATGCACACACTTTACAATATGAATATCAGTCGCGTGTGCGAAATTGTGCCGTGGGACAGAGTTGCGATACTCGCATCGGACGTATTGATTCGCTTCAACGAGATACCTACCGCGACGGGTATGAGAATAAAAGCAAGTTCTCGGAAGGCAGAAGCACTGGCATTCTATGCGATTGATTGCTGTGTTGCTGGTGAATGAATCTGCGACCGGATCGTTTTTGGCCGAGTTTACTTCGTTCGGTTCATTCAACTTCCACTTCCACTTCCACTTCCGCAAACCTCCCCCGGTGAATCCGCCTAGACCACCTCTCACTGCTGCCTGGCAAACTTCGTCTAGCGTCATTCACCTTCTCTTAGAAGCTGAAGTCAACCTTCCCCGCCTCTCACCAACCCTCTTCCTCTTCCTTCTCCTCTTCCTCCTCCCCTTCATCTTCCACCCTACAACATTTCCCTCTTCCAACCTCCACCCTTGAACCTTTTCCGTCTGGTATCTTCCACACCACACCACACAACGCACCCTTCCTTTCTTCGTTCCAGAGCTTCTTCGCTCCTCGCGCTCAGCTTAACAGCTCTTTCTTTCGCGCTCCTCAACCCGATTGTGTCCAAAAACATCTGGTGCCCTCCCAGCTGGGCGCCGAGCATAGATCGAACTTCTCAAAGCAAGGTATGTCGACCCAACCATTCAATGCTTCAATGTCTCTTTCAATAATCTCCCTTACAATAATCTCCCTTTCGATATTACGTTCGCGCTCCTTCATTCGGCGAATTATCTTTCAAATGCTGCATGGCAGCTCTCGGTTTCCCATCTCGTCTTTGGCGCCCGGGGGCCGTTGTTGGCCTTTGCGCCAGCTGTTCGGTTTTCGCCCTCTGCTATTTCTTTGATCTTCAACCTTATGACCCGATGCCGTTCTTCGTTCTTCTATGTATCTCCCCTCATTGTACGTATGCTAATCTCCATTTCTTTTAGGCTTCCATACCACCACCTACAAGTATCCATGGCGCCCGCCTCTGGTAGAAATAAGAGCCGGATCAAGAGTGAGTATCCAACCAGTTCGGGTTTGAAAACACCCACGAATCAGAGCAAGTCACGCACACTGTCACCACTCCTGAGAGATGAGATCGACTTGACGACGTCTTCTGACGAGCTTGAAGACGTGCCATCCACTTCCTCATTCCAAACAAGTCAAGCCGAACAGATCGATTATGACGACGCCTCGAACACCATTAAGGTTCAAGAATTCCGTCCCAGATCAGGTAAGCCCACTGCCCGCTACACTTGATAGATTCTAACAATGGCCAGCGGCAGTTCCTAATCCTACATCGAGGGCATCTTCTACACCTACGCCTGCCTCCCGGGTTCCTTCACGGCCAATCCGACAACAGGCTGCTGCAAAGTCGCCACCCATAATGTCTGGTCTTGAAGTCATCGGGAAGAATGTCAAGACACTTGTGGATACGATCGAGGACCTGAAGCGAATTGGCCTCAAGAGCATCGACGCGAAGCTTCCTGAGCTGATACTCGTTGGAGACCAGTCTGCTGGCAAATCGTCTTTGATGGGTGCCATTGCGGAGATTAACCTGCCCAAAGGACAGTCGATGTGCACCAAATGTCCAACCAATATCAAGACTACGTGTGCGGAAGACTGGAGTTGCCGCGTCTCGCTCCATAACTCCTATGACCACGTTCCACACAAGTATACCGCCAAGAATGACCAATTTCCAGACTGGGTCGAGAACGAGCAGCTGGTAATTGAACCTTTTGCCGAGCTGGACAAGAATGAAAAATCCAAACTCGAAGAAGTATTGAGGTGTGCCCAAGTGGCTATACTCAACCCCAGCAAGGCGCCAGCTGTATTCCTTCCCGGTATCTTTGACCCTGCAAACCGAGACAGCGATGAGGATGAAGCCATGTTCTCACCCAATGTGATATCTGTCGAAATCTCGGGCCCAGGACTACCAGAGCTGTCCTTCTACGATTTGCCCGGGCTGTTCAACGCGGCTAATGCGCGAAAACAAAGAGGATTGGTTGAAGTATTTGACAACATGACAGAAAAGTACATCAAGCACGAGAATGGGCTGATTATTTGTACCATGTCGATGCACATCGACCCAGGTAATTCAAAAACAAAAGGCTTTATAGAAAGATACGCCGACACCGACGAGCGCTGCATCGGTGTCCTGACAATGCCTGATAGAATGCAGGATGGAAAGGCTCATTCGGATTATACGAGCATTTTCGAGAAATCAAAATATGTCCTGTCGCCGCATGGATATTTTGTCACCAAGCAGCCCGGTCCTGACTTCGAGGCTTCCGGTGACAAGTATCACTCAACTGCTCGTGAAGAAGAGGACAGATACTTCGAGACGGCCCCGCTGTGGAAGTCAGGGGGGGAATGGCATCGATACAGGAATCGATGTGGCACAAAGACAATCCAAGAATATCTGTCCAAGGCTTTTGCGCAACAGATCTTGAAAAGGTATGCTGAGCCTAACACATTTCGTGACATACACTGACAAAACATGTTTATAGTCTTCCGAACATAACTGATAACATCCGTCAGCAAACTAGCGATGTCGATCGAGACTTGTCGCAATTACCTGACGTGGCCAATCACCAAGCCCAGAGCATCGTGAGACAGAGTTTGAGTGACTTCAGCTATCAAGTTCGTCAACTATTAGAGCCCAACTCTGTTTACCGCAAGAACGCATTTCAAAAGGAATGGAAGAAGCTTTGTGGCCAGTTTGTCAAGGCGATCGAGTTTATGTGTCCGCGCTGCTGTATCAAAGCCGACGAACCAGAAGTTATCAATCTGGATGATACCGACGACGAGGAGGATCTGGTTCAGCAGCATCCAAAGCGGCCCTTAGGCTTGGAACGAGCAGAAAGCCCCTTGTCCAAGAATCCCAGAAATGGGAATGCCACCGCTCAGCTTCGGACCACGGAGCCATCTACCCCAGTTCGAGGTGTGAAGAAGGAGCTTAGATCGGGTAGAAAGATAGCCAAACTGCCGACACTGCATCCCAGCATCCAAAAACTCCCGGACGACGCATATGGCCCCTTCAAGCAGAGATACCTGGCTTTTGGCTATGGCTTCATGTCAATCATGGATATTCGCCAGGCGATCGAAGATAACGCTATGGCTGGGCGACCTGGTAACGTCAACGACGTTGTCATGGAGGATTACGTATTGAAGGCAATCAATATGTGGAAACGCCCTGTCGATACTTTTATCGACGGCACGTTCAAGCAACTGCGGGATGAGATTATTGGCGTCTTGGCAAGAGTGTTGATCCGCTACAAGGATATGAGCTTGCACAGAGAGTCAAAGGCAATCGTTGAGAAGTTCTTGGACGCCAAAGAGAAAGAGCAGCGAGCCCGTTCGCAAAACTTTTTCGAGGTGGAGAAGTCCAGTCTCTTTACCGTCTGTGACGCCGAGTTCGAACGCCACAAGGCTGTAGCCCTCGATCTCCTCTCAGCCGCGAGAAAGAAGCACCGAGTACAGAACTACGTGGATAGCCACACCGGCATCACAATCAATGGGCGAGTTAGAGACGAAACGAGACTCCGAGCTGACGCCGAGGCAAACATTGGTCCGGACGCCTACGGGAAAGAGTTGAACACTGCTGCGTACATCCGGGGATATTACGATATCGCTCGCATCCGTTTCACAGACTACTTATGCGTCGATATGAATGTGACGTATTTTCATAAGATCAAGGACGAGATACCCTCGCTCCTTGAGGAATGCCTACAGATCAACGGGGCTAATAGTAAGTCCACGCCCCCCACCCCTCCCGTTAAATCATGGTGGCGCGGCTCGAGCTGACATTGGTTTTTCTTCTAGGCGATCGAAGATGCCAGGAACTGCTAGAAGAGAGCGATCAGATCGCTGCCCAGCGTAGCGCGCTGGTCAAGAGAAAGGAGCAACTCTCCACCTTCTCCAAAATCCTCGACAAGCTTCAAGTGGAGATCAACAACAAGTCTGGTCCTTCGGAAGACCGCATGCGCGAGCTGGATGCTCAGATCGCTCGGCACGCCACCGCGTTCGCTTCAGCTTCGAGCTTCGCGCTCGATGGCCAGCAGACTATCCCCTCGAACGACGACAACGACGAAGCCACTGCCGAGTCCAGCACCATCGCTCGTTCCCCGCTCAAGCAGGCCGCAGCTGACAAGTTGAGGTACGACCCCGGCAATGCCTGAGAGGTTTTTTTTCTCTCCCAGCTCCTCCTCGTCCTCGTCGGCGTCGTCGGCTGCTGCTGCTCGCTGTCTTGTCTGCCTGCACGATCCGGCGCGACACTCGGATTGCATGTCCCGTCTACATTCAGCACTGCCTGTCTGTCTCCTTCCGTGCTTTACTTTCTGGGCTCTTTTTCTTTCTTCGGAACTTGTACCACCCCGCGGCGCCGGCCCATGTTTGTTTCTATTTCCCTCTTGTTATTTGGCGGTTGCGCAAACCCTCTGTTCTACTTCTGCTTCTACTTCTACTGTACATGTGGCACAGTCACATCCAGACCCAGGTTGTCACAAAAATATACACACACGACCTCATGTACACAACACACATCCACCCACCTCTCTCACTTCCTCCTTTCTCGGAAGTCTCTCAGATTTGGACGCGTACAGCAAAATCACAAATCGCGCACTCTCTCCTTGTTCTCATGAAAAGGAAACGAACCGTCCCCCTTTCTACGGATTTTCCGTTTCTCTTCTTTTCCTGGGGGATAGGGACGGGCTTTCCCCCTTTTCGATTCAATTTCCTCCTCTGATTTCCTTATGCGGTTATTCGATAGAGGAAAGGATAGGAAGAGACTAGAGCAATGAATAAGAAGTTTCATACATCGTGTATCGTGTATCGATATCGCTGTGAGAGAGAGATAGCTAAGGTGGAGGGGCAGGGGGAGGGAGAGGGGGGTTAATCACTTACTCCTACCCACCTCTCAGCCCCTTCCCATCCCCTTCCCATCCTCCCATCTACCCAGCTAGCTATCTGGATGAATGAATGAACGAATAAAAGATATTAAAAAGCGCCCACCTATAAAACCATTCTTTTACATAAATAAATGTATAAAAAAAAGAAGTTTCGTAGAAAATAGCTCCGCTATGCTATGCTTACTGCTTACTGCTTACTAATAACGGTACGTGCGTCTACCGGTACTTCGTACCAATGGACGAATAGGTAGGGTACCTACCTACTACCCAATCGATGCGTCTAGGTACCGGTATTACACATTTAGTAGTATTTTACACGCGCGATTGACCTATTCCCGTCACACATCTGAGCTCTCTGAATTTGAATCGACCACACCCTCTGAACACCGAGAGGTCCATTTTCGAAATTTTCCTTTCCTGCTTTAACCTCTTCTTCCCATCCTCTCCTAACGTACCCTCTTCTCTTTGAATCACAACTTAATTCTTCGATCCTCGACGCTCAAAGCTCAAAGCTCAAAGCTCAAAGCTCAACCACCACGACGACGCCAATCGGGATTCCCGCACTTGCTTACAAAAACAGGATAGACCGAGCGTATCGTACCCACCACATACTACTGTACGTCCCAGGCCTAAGTATTTTCCCCTCGAGGGTGCCTGAAAAGTTTAGTTTCCCCTTTAAACCCCTTGGTTTCCCTACTACCTCCGAGGGGTAAAACTTACGCCTGTACCGTGGTACAGTACGTAGTACGTAGTACGTACTGTATCTACCCAAACCCAAACCCAAACCCATATCATACCGCATACCACATACCGGTACCACACCCATACCATACCATACCCAAGCCCACACCCACCCACACCACACCACACCACACCCCTACGGTATCACACCAACCCAAATACTACTAGTACCTACATACAGTACTACGCACGTCGTACCTACGCATACCGACCGGTACATACCTACTCCTCACACAAACCAAGCTTGCGCAAACCCCCCCCCCAAAAAAAGTATAAGCAGGTAAACATTCCCTCGCGTAATCCGTAACCCCCTCCCCCTTTTTATTTACCTTTTACCCCATTCCCCATTCCCCATTCACCATTTACCTTTTACCATTTACCTTTTTACCTTTTTACCTTTTCGCCCCCCTTCCCTCCACCTCTACCCCCCTCTACCCCGCACTTCACTTCACTTCACTTCACTTGACTTTATCTTACCCCTCCCATCCCCCCCCCCCTGAATAGCCTACCGGTAATGACCTACCTAAGGTACGTAGGAAAAGAAACCAAGAAGCGAAGCCGCCCCCCTTCCCTCTCCCACCTTTGGAAATTCCCTCCTCCTTCCCTCCTTCCCCCCCCTTTTTCTTTATAAATAATATATATATAAATAACATATATATATATACAATTCAAGAAACTCCAAGAAAATTTTTTTAATTTTTTTTTTTCCAAGAAGAACCGAGGCCCCGCAGACGAAGCATGCGCGCATATCCCCATCCCCATCCCCATCCCCATCCCATCCCGTGTCTTCTGCTTAGTTATTAGTGAGAGGATGGAGGATGGAGGATGGAGGATTGGGCACGGGGTTCGGGTTGCGGTTGCGGTTGCGGTTGCGGTTGGGGTCTGGCGTGAGGTTGGGTTGAAGAGAAGAGAAGAGAAGAGCGCCACGCGTGCATAAGGTACGTAGCATAGCATACCTAACATACCTAACATACGTACTACGTACGTACGGTACATCCCCCATGCGTGCAGACAGATATGAAGGAGCGGACCGAAGGATTCAGGCGATCGACGCGGCGTGCAAAATTGTGAGGTGGGAGGGGCATAAGGAGGGGGAGGGGGGTAGGTAAGGGAGGGATGGGTAGTAAGGGAGAGTCGGAAGATGATCTGGAGATCTGGAGATCTGGAGATCTGGAGATCTGGAGATCCGGAGAGAGGGGAAGAGGATAATAGACGGAAGAGGCTCGACGCGAGCGGGCGATGAATGACTGACTTGACTGAATGACTGACTGGCGTTGCGCGCTATCTATGTTGCAATCACTATTGACCATTTAAATTGTACATCGACGAAGAGATGAGATCCGTCCATAGAATGTTATAATGACGCCAACGTACGGAGAAGAGCAAACAAATGATTTTAGTTGGAATCGAAGCAGAAAGTGCTTGCGCTCCCCCCCCAAAGAAGCATGAAGTGTATGTATAATGTAAATGCCCAAACCGCAATGCAACCAACCCAACGCAGTGCATGTGAAATAATGCAAAGTCAAATCCAAATGCCGTCCGAAAATGCTCCTTCGTGAAACCTCGTGAGAACTGGACGAGCAGGAAGAGTCCCTAGTTTTTCCCGTCAGATCACTGTACAGACAAAGCTCGCTCGCTCGCTTAAACTCCCATGCCAAGAAATCCCAAATAACCCGAACAAGCAACCGTGGGAATCACATCTCCGCTCTGGAGATGCACTGCACAGCCACATCTAGACCTCCACGATCCGCGGTCGATGCGCAACCACGCTCTGACGGATCTCCTTCTTCTCCTTGCTGCGCTTGAACATGTCGGCGAGCAGATTCTTCTTCTTGTCCTTGCCGCCCAAGACGCTGTGGAGGCTGCTCTCGTCATCCTTCTCTTTCGCCTTGATCGTCTTTCTGCTTCTCGAGCTGCGTCCGCTTTCGGATGGAGGCGGCCTCGAACCCGACGGTTTGAGAGAGGGGGGTTGGTGAGAAGCTGTGTTTAAGCTGCCGACTCGCCGGAGAGTGCGTTCACTCCTCACGCTTTCGACTACGCTTGGTGCCCGCCTGCTCTTCCCGTGACTGCGCTCTTCTCGTTTTCGCTCTCTGATACGTTCTCTCTGCTGCCGCGCAGCTCCAGGGGTGATGAATTCCCCGTCCACGCTCGTAGCTACGCTTTCCACTTCGACGTCTGCGATGCCGCGTCTCCAAGTCTCGATACTGCCCACCTCCGTCCCCTCATATGCCATCGGCTCCTCCAAGCGAGGCGCCCCTCTCGCAGTTTCGCCATTAGCCTGGATCTGTTTCACGATCTTGTACCCCCCAAGCATGACGACCGTTACACCGAGCGCGACACCAGTCGCAATCAGGAACTGCGGGGAAGACAACAACGCGAACACAGCCGGCGACGACGATCTCAAAGCCGTGATGATCCCCGGCGACACGGTCTTCAACAGCGAGCTCAGCTCGGCAAGCGTCAGTGCCACCGCAGCCATGGCCTCCGGGTTGGCCTGCAGATTGGTGATGATAGCCGTAGCGGAGTGTTGCACGCAGTGTGCCTCCATCAGCATCCCATCCAGCTTCGTCATGGTAGCTTTGAGCTCCTCCTTCTGTCTCTCGTCCTCGTATCCGGGTAGGAGGTCAGGTGGCAGCTTGCCGTAGGCGAGGTTCATGTCGATGCCATCGCTGTCGCTGTGGAAGTCGGGGTTCGAATGCGCGCGCGGGGGCATGCGGGAGAGCTGAGAGGACAATGGAGGGGGACAATAAATGCTGCCGGAATCACTGGGGACCGCCGAGTGTCTGCGTTGGAGGCCGGGGTGTTCGGACCCGGAATGAATGGAGCGAGGAGAGGTGCGGGCATGAGGGGACGTCGCTCTGCGGGAGCCATGATGACTGCGAGATCTGCGGGTGGAGGAGCCGCTGACTTCGGAGATATTTCTCAGATTGTGTTCGGTGACAGGCGGTCGGGAGGGACTAGCTGGGTCGCGATGGCGGCGAGAGTGTCTGGAGGTGGAGGTGGTTGAGCGGCTCTCTTGCCGGGTCTCGAGAAGCCTTTGCTCATTCTTCCATTCTATATTGGCCTGGTGGTCGGCTCTCAACTCGGCTTTCTTGTATTGGTAGGCTTCTCTTGCGTCCTTGAAGATGTTGACTAGGTGTTTGCCCTGGGAGGGGAGAGAGTCAGTTTGGGAATCGGACGAACGTGGAGGAGGAGGAGGAGGAGGAGGAGGAGGAGGAGGGAGGGGGGAAAGGAAGGATCCTAGACTCACAGTGCTGATGACCTTGCCGGACTTGTTGATGACGGTGACGGTTTCCATGGCAGGCATCTTGCTGGTATTGTGTATATGTATGTATTAGGAGTAGAGAGGTGCTTGCAGGCCAGCTTTCTGGGCATATATGGTTGGTTTCGGTTGTATCGGGAGATTTTGGTTTTGGTTTGCAGTGCGGTGCGGTGCGGTGCGGTGCGATGTCGGAAAGATGCGGTGAAGATATCTTCCCTCCAGCTACACAGTAAAGCAGAGCAACGCACTGACAATGTCTTTAATTATGGGAGGATGTGCTGGAATTCCCGTATTGGATATTTTTTTTGGGTCTTGGACTTGGAAAGGGATGAGTGTTGTTGCAGTTTGTTGTCGACGACATGGACAGAAGACATGCCCCAGTCCCCAGTCCGTCCCCAGGCCCAAGTCCCCTAGTCCCCTAGTCCCCTAGTCGCGAGGCGAGGCGAAAGAAAGTCGGGCAACCATTGGAAGCCACTGGGGGATCTGCACCCTTTAGTTTTGGATTCCTCTCTGCTGGCGACGTCTGACTGGCAGTTCTGTCTCCAGCGGCTCAATCCTCCATCCCGCTCCAAAGTATCGTCCCGTCTGAGGTCTGGTCTCGGAAAGTTAAATGTTGGCGGCGGGTGATTCGACTGATTTTGACCCGCGCATAGCCGGTGAGACAGCTGGTGCATTGGGCAAGCATCTGCATCCGCATCTGCACCTGCATCTAGTAGTGTATCTGCAGCATCTGGGTCCGGTCGAGACCGTCCGACTCAAGAGAGGATGTCGCGGTGGGTTCGGGGGGAAAGGGAAGGGGGGGGGGGTTGGTGGTTGGAGGTTGGTGGTTGGAGGTAAGGTAAGGATCATTGCCTGGAGATCTCGGGCTCAGCATCTTTGGTTCTTTGGGTAGCCGAGATGGTATCGTGATAATCACGTGACTCTGATTATGATCTCACGTGACTTGTACATGACCAATGTCACCCTCGGCTTTCTGCACCATCATCCTTCCACTTTCCACCTTCCACAATCGCCCTCAACCATGTTTTGTTGGTGGCGAGTCCATCCATCTACAAGAATGGGGTACAACCTCCTCATTCATTTCTACTGTACAGCATGTAACAGTATCATTGATCAGCATTGAGTCGACGTCCAAAATCCAAAATCCATCATCCATCTTCTGCCAAGATGGGCATCTCGACGCGTGTCAAGGACTACATTTCTCAGCCGTATGAGAATCAAGGCGAAGGAAAGCTTGTCAGGAAGCTTGGTAGGCTCAGTACTGCATCTGCAAATATCATCGACTTCTGCGCACCCGTGCATTTGACTGCAAGCTCCGAAGCTGACCAAGAATGGCTGGCTCCCTAGACTTCTTCATCTTGACCTTCTGTTGTCTCATGTATTTCACCAATTATCTGGATCGGTCCAATCTGGCCAATGCCTATGTGTCTGGCATGAAGGAGGAATTGGCCTTCAAGGGGAACCAGTACAATCTGATCAATACCATCTTTACCGTCGGGTATGTCACATGAACGTCCTCGCTTGTGTGCCCAGGGCCGCCAGTCATGTTATTTTCAAGGCCATGAGGACGAGGATCCTGCATCTCAACAATAAATCTTTTTGACCTCTTGACAGCTACATTCTCGGCCAGGTTCCTAGCAATTTGGCTCTATACCACTTCAAACCTCGCATCTTCTTCCCGAGCATGATGATCGTTTGGGGCGGATTGACTATGGTCACAGCAGCTGCAAAAACACCGCAACAAATCATGGCTGTCCGTTTCTTCCAAGGCATCGCCGAGTCATCCACCTTCGTCGGCACTCACTACATCCTCGGATCCTGGTACACCGGCCGGGAGCTCGGAAAACGTAGTGGTATCTTCACAGCCTCCGGACTTGCAGGAACCATGTTTGGTGGATTCCTACAGACTGGCATCAACTCCTCGCTGAGCGGAAGACACGGCATCGCAGGCTGGAGATGGCTCTTCATCATCGACGGTATCATCACGCTCCCGATCGCTCTCTATGGCTTCTTGCTCTTCCCAGACACTCCATCTACGACATCGGCATTCTACCTCACTTCCTCAGAGCGAGCCCTTGCAATCTCCCGAGTCCCCGAAGTTCCCGAACGACGGCCCTTCAACTGGGCCTTCGTCACGCGGGTCTTCACATCTTGGTACTGGTACGGCTTCGTGATGCTATGGATCATCGCCGGCGAAACGGAGTCCTTCTCCTCAAACTCTCTCCTGGCAATCTATATGAAATCGACCAAGAAATATACCATCCCGCAACTCAACAACTATCCCACCGGCGTCCCAGCCGTCGGTATAGTATCCACTCTCTTTTGGGCCACGCTCACAGATTTCCTCGGCGGCAAGCGATACCTTGTCGGATACTGGATCGGCATCACCGGTATCGCAACAGCAGCCATGATCCTCACCACCGACAATACGTCGGTCATCTTCGGCGCGTACTACTGGGCCGGGAGCGTCTACGCTTGCCAAGCCACCTTCTTCGCGTGGGCGAACGACGCCATGAGACTAGAGGAAGATAGTCTGAGGGCCGTAGTTATCGCCAGCATGAACTGTGGTAGCAACGCCGTTAACGCTTGGTGGAGTTTGGTATTCTATTCGGCTAATTTCGCGCCCAGGTTTACGGTAAGTTTCTCTGTTCCCAGCTTCCGCGGGGGTAGAGGGTGTGATTTCTGAGCTGACGATGTCTATAGAGAGGTATGTGGGCTATGATTGGCGTGTCCGTTGCGATGGCCATCTGGACTACGGGATTGCTGCACATGACGACGCGGACAGACAAGAAGAGGAGGCTCGTGGAGGCGGAGGCTCCTGATGCTTATGAAAAGAACCACGAGGCCACAGTGGCAAGTGGTTGATCCGCATTATGTGCCGAAAAAGCGATATAATAATCAAATATCTGACGGGCGAGGATGACCAAGAACATTTCAAGTTCAAATCTTAGGTTCTTGGAAGTGTAAGCGTGGGAGGGCCTCGGGATAGATATACCCTCGCTTAAAGTTCCTCCGGAAGTGAATATCGAGATTTATGAAGGCTCTTATTGCACATCTCATAGGGGAACGATAACGAGAATCTGTTCTCGGCGAGGCTGCTCCCAAGAGAACGAGAAGCTTACTGTCAAGTGGCCGAACGATCTGGAATCGGATGGACCTGGCATCAGGAAAGCTGAATGAGTCTGGGACTTGAGATATCGAGGCTACCAAAACCATGCAAAGGTCACCAGAATATTGACATTTTCTTTAGGTCCATTTCGTCTCAGCCATCTTCGCCGCGTCCCTTTTGGTTTCTCATCTTTAGAGTGGCTCTGGATTCCGTTCCACCCTTTTCCCCATGGATGTCTTCCTTCCCCTTGCCTTCTTCCTCCTCCTTTTCTTCCTCCTCCTCTTCTTCTTCATCTCCCTCTTCCTCACTCTCGCTCCCAGGATCCGTCGTTTTCCCCATCCACCTATGCGCCGGCCAAAACTCCGCATCAGGATCAAACTCCAACCTCTCCACGCTTCGAAAAACCTTTCCCTCAGCTCCACAACTCTGATTATCTGCTCCCACAGCACTCTAGCTCCTTCCGTACTCGCTCACTGTGCTTTGGCGTAAGCATCCTCGCCCTGCTCCAGATGCTTCCACTCGATAAACAGCGGCAGCAGGTCTGCAGTGCTTTGATATACATGCAGCCCCGTCCGCACCCACCCCTTCGGCACCGTCCCTTTCCTCGCATGCTTATGCCACTTATCCCTCCAATTCCCGGCAAACGAAGAACACGGAGAAAGTGTTCTCGTGAGTCACGAAATTCCTGAACGTAGCTGGACGAAACTAGTATTCAGGCTAGCAGGAGCGATAGACTTGCACTTCGAGAAGAACCTGATACACATATCTCGTGATGAATATTCAGGATAACCTGCCTGCCAAGAGGGACCGAGTCAGGCATCCGCATCTGATCTACTACCGTACCACTCGGGAATTTTTTCGAATTGTCCGCCTGGCCTTGGTGAGGAAGAATGGTGGTGCCGGGTATACCTTCTTCCAAGCGCGTCCAGTATGGATGTTGGACCTCTTCAATGTTGTGAGAGTCTGTTGCAAGGGAATAAAGAATAGGATGAAGTTGTAAATCAAGCGGGATCTCGCTTACGCAATTACTCTGTAAACCCCCGCTCGCAATCCCTGATCTAACCGAGATTCTTAATGTTATGTAAACAAACCTTACGGGTATAAGTAGAGCGAGTTTGACCTATTGTTGAGGAGGTACGGATTTTCCAAGGGAGAAATTATGAATATCCGAATCGTTGGGATTTTCTTCTGTTATGTTTTGTTTTAGAGTCCGGGGTTTCCCAGGGCGGGGTATAGATTGTAAGTGCGGGGTACCCGCCATCGATTTATTTGCGATGGAGACGAATTTTGATGCTTTTTATTTTATGAAGACAGCGCATGTATTGCCAAAAACAGAGCGAGAAGTTCAGATTCCATCAAATTAACGGGAGATTCAAGTATTAAAAGCATAAGCAACGAAATAGCATTCCCGTAATCGTTGACCGTATGCACCAGGACGCTGCGCAGAAAATCCCCACAAGAGACGAACATCATCTCACCTTGTTGATCACCGAGCTATACACCAGAGTCCCGGGCCGAAACTGGGGCGGCTTGCGGCAAGAATATCACACGGATTCTGCTCGCACTCGCCGCTGAGCTAGGCCTTCAGATATAAAAAGTCCGTTGCCATGCAGCAACAACTTTTCTCTCACTTTTTCTTGCCTATCTGTCTCCCTGATACGATTCTCGCAACCGAGACAACTCCCACTGCCATAATGTCATTCGTCAATGTCGATCTGCTTGCGCTGGCCAGAGACGCCGCCTACTTCAGCGCCCTCTCCGCAACGAATATGACCGCCCCAAGCATCTCCCTCCTCAGCTACAGTCCAGAATTCCAAACCGTGCTGGGAGCAAACGTCACAGCTCGAAAGATCGCGGACCTCCCCTGGGAGGCATTCCACGAAGCCGGGGTCTATAATAAGAAAGACAACTCGCTGTACGTGACGTCCAATTACCAGAGCCTGCAGGACAACATCAACATCACCGTCGTCTCCCTCGACGACTACTCCGTCTCCAGCACGCAGTTTCCCAACCTGGCCGAAGCGAACGGGGGAACGTCCTACTACCCCCCTGGCTCCGACCCGACGCGCACGCCGCCCCAGCAGGTGTACTGCGACGAGGGGGATTTCGAGTCCTACGCCAAGCTCGTCGCCGTGGACCCCAACACCAACACCTCGGAGGTCCTCCTGACGGGCTTCATGGGCCGCAACTTCTCCTCCCCGAACGACGTGCGCCAGCATCCCGTCACGGGAGACCTGTGGTTCACAGACGCCGACTACGGCTACACGCAGAACTTCCGGCCCGAGCCGACGCTGCCCAAGCACGTCTATCGCTTCGAGCCCGGCACGGGCGTCGTCCAGGTCGTGGCGGACGGCTTCGTGCAGCCTAACGGGCTGGAGTTCTCGCCGGACCTGGAGACGCTGTATGTCAGCGATACCGGGGCCCAGATGTTCACGTTCAATGGGACGAGACCGGCGGCCATTTACGCGTTCGATGTTGTAGGCCGGAAGACGCTGAGGAATAGGAGGACTTTTGCGTTTGCTGACAAGGGATTTCCGGATGGCATTCAGTAAGTCGGAGAGGCTGCGGTTGCGTTTTCTTCTTCTTCTTCTTCTTCTTCTTCTTGCAACTCTTAGTGCATAGGTGAACTGCCTGCTAATTATCGATCGAAAACGGTATAGCTGCGATACCGAAGGAAATGTCTGGTCTGCGTGTGGAGATGGTGTGCATGTTTGGAACCCAGCCGGGATCTGTAAGTTGTGCCCCAGCATCTCCAATTCTCACGAACATCAATACAAAACATTTCTCTGGGACGTCTTCCCCGTCAAGAAAATTTTCAATCCCCCGAGAACTTTTGTAGCATATGAATGTTATTGACGTGTGTTGTAGTACTCGGCAAAATATTTATAGGCGAGACGAGCAACAATTTCGCCTTCGCGCCAGGAAAGATCCTGGTCTTCTCCAACCACCGGCTCTGGGTTGTTGAAAACATTCAGGCGCAGGGCAGGGAGGTGTGCAAGGACTTCGGAGTGGGGTGCGCCCCGAACGTCACACACTCTTGGAATCCATAGAGATAGATGGATGTCGGTTTGATAGTCGATCGATTATTTTGTAGGTTCCAATCGACGACGGATTGAGGGCAGTCGTCGCTCCAAGCGAGGTGCGTCATTATGTGACCAAAAGAATTGCACTATGGCTGTGGAAGCCGGCGGGATAGACTTACGAGGACTACTTAGGGACACAGTCTAGAAAAGAGCGAGAACTATACAGTTTTAGATGCCAATATAAGCTCCTGCAACGGTAATCATGTCACCCATGAAGTGTCCCCTGAAATTTACAGAGAAAGGTCACGGGCTTGCTGCAGGCGAGATGTTGGAACCTTCACTTTCAACCTCTAGCATTAGTGTGCGAGATTATTGCTTGAGATTTGACATCTTTGAGCCTGCATATTGGTAGATCCAACGGGCTTATTTCGTTTTTTTTTCCCTTCAGGCCAGGACCGTACAAGTTATCATTTGATTTGTATTGTACTTGAGTAGTTGTTATTATTGTTGTTGTATTTATCAACGTCGGGCGGGTAGCAGGCGAAGCCTGCCGCCTTTAGACCTCTTATGAGATACGGCGACGCGCTAGGTTAAAGTGTTATATATAAAACGGCTTTAAAAAGCAATTTAATGTGCTGCGGCGAAAGCCATTACCGTTGGCGCTCTTCTTTTATAAATAAGCTAGATTATAATAAGAAAGGGACCTTCCGTTTCGGGAAAACTATAATAGAAAGTCAAGCAGATACAGACTGCTATAGCCAGCTTTAAAGCGTAGCTGTATAAGTCGTAAAGCGACTGATGTCGAGGCCGGACCGGGGTCAGCCGTTTGTGCATCTATTAATGCAAAGGAAAAAGAAGGGAAAAAAAAGAGAGAGAGCACGTAATTATGTTTAAAAACAGACCCGAACTTCAAAAATAAACCCTTCGTATCGTACGTGCCCCCTACGAACCTTCAGCTCTTTTTCTTTCTTTCTCTTGCGATAGAAAGAAAGATAGAGAGTCTAGAGAGCCGAAATTGAATCATCGATATGCGACGTCTTATCGAAAAGATCTTCTTTTACCGGCGATTCCGAACTTCCTTCCTCTTTCTTTTCGAATACTACGCCGATTACGATTTATACTTAATAGGCATACCGATTGAAAAGACTAAAAGGATTTGCGATAAAAAAGGAACGTGTATAAGAAATAAAATAAGAAAGGCTTAGTTCGATTAATCGAAAACACGGTATTGCGCCTTCGAAAGAGCGTTTTGCAAACACACCGGCTTTATCTAAAGGCTACGAACGCGAGCCTTCTTAGCTTTACGACGAAAGAGAACGATGTTTATATTATACGGATCGAGGCCGCCCGTAAGGCTATACGTATTCGATAATTGTCGAAAGAAAACTCGACGTATAGCACTATAAATTGCTTTTAAAAGGTTTACAAGTGTTTAGCTATTTAACAAGAGGTTTTCTTTAACGTAATTTTTACTCTCGATTAAATAGTATTTTATATATAATTCCTTTATTTAGCACGTCGCCGTACCTTATAAGAGGTCCCCAAGGTTTAAGCATTGCGTTTTAGATACCCGCCCGACGTTAATAAATACAACAATAACAATAACAACAACAATAACAATAGTACTAAAACAAGTTCCTTCGAGAAGATGACGACACGCCAGGTCTCCTGGACGTATCCTTATATGCGTCACGTTACCTCTTTCCTTTTTCCTCTTCCCTTACATTCTTTCGTATTCTCTCGTATTCTCTCGTATTCTCTCGTATTCTCTCGTATTCTCTCGTTCCCCTTTTTGACCCATGAACCATGGTTCACGAGTCCTTGGCGCTTCCTAGCTTCGTCTATATAAGCCTCAGCTTCCTTCAACCTCTACATTCGGTAATTATTGATTCTAAGTTATTACTTTAAGGTCTTCCTGAAGCTCCTATGTGATCCCCCGCGCTCCCATGAGTTCCTTTAGGTAATCGCTTAAGGTCGTCACAGAGAAGGCACTACGCTGCTTTAGAAGATCCTTGATTTACCGCATATTGCTAGCTTCTACAGCTTCTATAAGGCGGAGCGTACCCCGTTCTCCTTATAAAAGCGGTATTAGTAAGCAGCTAAAGTAGCATTATTAACAATGCAATGCTTAGAATAAAACCCGATGATAATTAAGAAAGCATAAAAGTCCGCTAGTTTGCTAAAAAAAAAGAAAGGCTTTAAAGAAGTCGTAGGCTTTCCAGCTCGTATTCAATAAGATCTTTAGTCGAGTTTCCTTTAGCTAAGAAAATAAACGCCGTCGTATAAAGCGATAAAAAGCATAGTCTAGAAAGACTTGCGCTTGCCGCAAGCGCATGATAAGTTGGCGCCGTAATACTGAAACTTAATACAATCCTACATAAAGTCTCTTTGCGTAGTCCGTATTGCAAGCAGCTTATGTAAAATATATCGTAAGAGCTCGAGGTCCGAAAGAAGATTAAGTAAATGTAAAAGGCTTTATTTCTGACGAGAACGTGTCATGCGTGACAGTAATACCTTACAGGATTACCATGTCACACCCGACAGGAATACTTTACTCGGATATTCAGTATCCGTATAACTACCGGGAAGTCCTCGCTACACCTATATTTAAGATGAGGATCCGACAAGTTAGATATTCTAATAATGCGTATCATAATCTCCCATCATACCGTATCTAAATCATAGAGATTAAGGGGTCCTATTCTTAGTAGTAACGTAGAGCATATATACTGATCTGAGGGTGCTCTTAAAGCCCTAGAGATCAGTTCACTACCAATATATACTTCTACGCTCCTATACTTCTATCTTTGCCTGTCTTCTGACAGAACGAAAGAGCTTCGTAAAAGCTTGCGCTCTACTAATCTTTTCGCGCTTTATTACGTATATCGCGATAAAGTATGTGAATGCGGCTAATAATACGTTGCGAAGCAAGACTAGTGTCTTAGTCAAGCTTCCTCGCTTTTAAGTCTGCTAGCTTATTCGCTCGCTCGTTCCCTTTGATCGAGACTACCGTATACGCACATCTCGAGTTTCTATCACGCCTTGAACGTTCAGGAACGCCTACTGCGAAGATAATAAGTCATTCTCTCGAAGGTATCAGATGACCGACATGCTGTCTATGCACAGCCAGATCCGTTACGCCGACGGGTAGGTGTGCATTACTTGTTCGAGGCCCTTCCATTTGTACTTGAGTACTTCCACTAAACATGCCGATATATGCCGAAGACCGACAAGCCAGGTAAGAGGATATAGGATAACTAAAATGGTAGTGCCAACGATTGAGTCCTTTTCTGACGGGAGATAAAGAGGGGGAAGCTGACAAGATCTTGTTATCGTGGTGCGCAGGCTCATGGAGGTTGATTGGTTTGAACGGAAACACACGATTATGCAGCTGAGCGCATCTGTAGACCAACAATATCGCGTCAGGTCCTCGGGAGTAGCTGCTGTCCAACTCGCAAAATAGCATGAAAGCAGGCAGACAGAAGGAGTGGAAGCGAAGACCGGTTAGCTGTCCCTAGCTCGTGGACCCAGCTTTTGTTTTCTTTGGCTCTACGTAGCCGACTCATGCCAAGTACTCGTGACTCACGTGATAAATGCACGCACGCGTCTGCTGTGACAGGTATTCGTGCGACACAACATCATAAACACCACAAAATCTTTACTTTACAGCACGCCTGGCCATCCCTCGCTCCACTTTCTGCCTGGCTTAATACGGCGAGTGTAGCATTCGCAAGTCCAGTTAATCTTCGGCTCTTGTCGTTACAACGAGATAGAAAGTGCCCGTGCTACTAAAACGATGTGTCAGCCTATCCATCTCCAACTCGCGGTCGAAGTCGACTGTTGTCCAACACACCATAATATTGGTGGCGACAAGTTATATAAATCCGATTGCCTAAACTCCTCATGTAGTATCGATGAGTATCGATATCCTGGCGAGCCAGCAGATCCGCGGATATAACAGAGTCTGCTGGCACGAAAGCAGACCAAATTGCACCAACTCTGGCCTCTCTCGGGGCACCCGCTGCTATACCCTTAAGTGCACGAATCCAAAGTTGGTTCTCCATTCCATAGTAATTCAGGCAAGTATGCTGCTGACGTATATGCCGTGCTAGATTGATTATCCTTCCTTACCACAAGCCCACCAGATTGTACAAGAGCCAACGCTGTTTGCTTTGAAGCGCCCGCACGCAGCATACCTCGAAGTCCTCGTTGACCAGCTGTGATATTCCAGTTCTCCCCCTAAAAGATACCGTTCTGGTCTCCCTGTTGCACATTTGCTTGGGTATATCTCAGGTCCAGAGGTCTATCGGGAAAAACAGTCCAAGTCGGACACAGTTCTTGGCCGTAGCGAGTTTGTTCCAAGGAGACTTAGAGAATCACCGCCCATCATGGAGCGTAGACGGAATGCATTCGCTATCCCCTCGACACCCCCAATCTCGTGGTGCCCCCCGTCAGCGGCGCCAACAACTCCTATTAGTGATTCCGCATCTTCGGGAAGAAAAAAGAGACTTGACGAAGATCCTCTTTATCGTTCGACAAACCTGTTCGCCAATCATATCCACTTACGCTCCGATCACGAGACATTCCCAAGTCACGTAGCTGAGCTTGTCAAGGACATGCACAAAGACCGCAAATCCCCAGGTCCGCGTTCCGCTCAACTACCGCATGATATACAAGATTTAGAAAACCTTGAGATGGGAACAGCAGAAGTCGTTGTGAAGGTATACTTTGAGAGCAATATTTTCGAAAAGCCACGTGGGCCAGAAGCGAGCATTCTCAAACGGGTTGACAACCTTCCAATGTTGCCTCATGCCGTTCCATGTACCAATCCGAACTTCAAGGTCAGCGATCCGAAACCTGATATGATATATGGAGTAAGTCTTTGGAAGTATAAATTGTCCACTTTTGGACTGTCTCATGATTAGACCTGAGGCACGGCCTTGTCGTTCGTAAATTATTTTTGCATAGCATAAGCTGACTTGCCTATGATTCAGTACGGACCCGGGGCATTTCCTCAGCGAGAACAGTTGACCTCCATGGGTGAGGAGGCCATGGCCAACTCCGAAGGCTTGTTGTATCCATTCTTTGTCATTGAATTCGAGGTAGACCGTCTATGGGTGGCGACAAATCAATGCCTCGGAGCTTCGGCGACTTGTATTAACATTGCACAAAGCCTCAGCAATCGACTGAAGCAGTGCGGAAATGACCAGGTCCGGAAATTAGACAGCGCTGTATTCAGCATCGCTATGAATGGCACGGAAGCACGGCTTTATATCTCCTGGAAGCACAGCAAAATCGATTACTACACGCGGAAAGTGGACAGCTTTTTGCTTGAAAGACCCGACGACTATGCGCGGTTCCGCAAAATCGTTCGGAACATCATTGATTGGGGCAGGATAGAACGCCTGGGAGAGATCCGAAGCTCGTTAGACGATCTTCTCGAGGAAAGTGGAAGAGTAGCCTTGCAGCTAGCCAATTCCCGAGAGTAATCATTGGAAGACTTTGCGGATATCGGTAACGCTAAGCCAAAGAGAGAAGCAACGGCAAAGCCACAAGTGTCCAAGGCCCCTCCAGTGGCGACAATGGTCTTCGATCCGCCACTTTCCTCGGTAGTTGTCAGGATTGGTCTTTCGTCGCTCCGGATCTACCACTCGAGACAAGCGAGTCTACAGATTGTGACTACCACGGAGCGTACGCCGATGATAGACCTGACCAAGCGTAATGTCGGACGAGTGTCCCGGCGAGCAATCAGGAAGGAAATTTTCTACAGAATATCGCTGCGGACGCTGCTCATCTTCCGTCTTCCTTTGAAATTTCCAGGATGACCCTTTCGTTCAGAAAGTGGACTAAACTGTGGACCATACGCATTACGACCTCAAAATTGAGATGAGAGAGTTTGAGTCGGGATTTGTTCGAGTAAGACAGGCGAGTGGATACGTTTTCGCATGGGAAATGCAGTAGCATTGATTTGCAAGCGCAATTACTGTTGTTATTGTTGTTCAGGTGCCGAAGCTCGTGTTAACGCGACTATCACTGAGGTTGAGGGGCTCATGAGACCAGCTATTATCCAATCTGAATATCCACTCCTCACCTCATTGATTTGATACGAATTCTAGTAGTCATTACCTACCCTAGAATAATGGTTGAAGGTCTGAAGACTGGAAGATAGGCGACACAATATCAACGAGCTACGGTATTGACCTTGCTATACAACCGAGGCTCGAAAAAGTGACCAACGAAGATATTACACGATTGCGAAGTGATTGGGAGGCTGCAGTCAACGTCAACAACCCCAGTAGCCCCGTTCGTCTTTACACTTTCTCCCCAACTCTGGATTTCTCAAGTCAAGCTTGAACTCCGTTGGTACGTAGCAATGCTACAGGTGAGCCAGCCAGCATCCCAGCGTCTGATAGCGCGCTGTTACGTATGGCCCGAGGCCACCGCGGCTATCAAGGTGCACAGACCACCAGCGGAGCAGGATACTATCCCCATGAATGTACCACGGTACAGGCCTAAGTATTACCCCTCGAGGGTGCCTCAAAAGCTTAGTTTCCACTTTAAGCCCCTTGGGTACCTTACTCTCGAGGGGAAATACTTACGCCTGGGACGTAGTATCATTCTTCTCCATATCTGGCGCGGGTATCGGCTAGGTAGTCTTCGTTTTGGCTTTTAGCGAGTGATACTATACCGACTCTCAAGCCCGATCACAATCTGATATTTGCAACTCGATTTCACAACCTGAGAAATTGATAGCATCAACACCTTTTGCTATTACAAGCGTGCAAGTATTTTGTATGGTTGTAAAATCTTTGTTGTTGTTTAGAAGTCGTTAATGGTATCAAAGTACTACCGATTTGAGAAATAATAGAAATTGTAATGTAGGTTGCAAAAGTCGGTGTGTAGCGCGCTCTCCGGACCTTAAGATGCCGACAGCTCGCCACAATGGCGCACGGTTAGCCTGTCAGCTCGGAAGCGAATGTCAAAAAAACAAACAAAAAGCTTCATTACGTATAAGCAGGCTGATATGCAGAATTTAATTGTGCAACTAAAATACGTACTACGTATAATCAATCGAGCTGCATCAAAGGTTTTTTCTTGGGCAGTGCATGCAAGATGCTACGCTTTGGCGCTCCTCGCCAATCTAAGCGAGAAGGGAGAATCCCTCATTGGGAACTGCTCCTTTTAACCTTTTGTAGCAGACATCGAGGAATACAACAAATAAGATAAGGCTAGTCTTATCTGTAATACCAACAGGTGGCAATAAATACAAGTAACTTCCTCGAATGCTGTAACCAAGCGCTGCGCCAACGTTTTGACGTACTGTTGCTGATGGAACGTCGTCAAAGCGCGGATTGCGGGGAGCATGCTCCGAGAATTGTGGAAAAACAACAAAAGTAGATGGCGCATCCGCAACCTCAGAGAGATTTTCGGCGCGGTGACATATTTACTGGCCGCACGGGTCGCTATCACCATCTCAATACAAAGGTCACCCACCTCCGGGAGCGCGGTTGACACTTCTTTGGGAAAGACCGCGGCGCATCATTTCCTTTGTACCTTCGTACGCCGTCAGATGTCTTGACATGAGCATGTACGCCCTTTTTCACGATCCTTCTTTCGATATCGACGAACCGTATATATCCCTGTCTCCCAGCAAGTGCGAGTAATAGTTCCCAAAAAGAGAACCCCCCCCATCTGACTATTACCTGTCTTCCTCGCTTGCTAAATCCCCTCCGTCTCTCTCCCGTAGATACCACAGTTATGGGCAACCTCCACATGGACCACGAGCCTGATGGTATGTCGCCGAATTTGGTCATGTCAGAGGAGCATGACTCCGGGGAAGGGGAGTTCTTCGACCTTCAGCCGCCACCGTCGTCAGCTAAGCAGGTCAAGGTAGAGGATATCATGAGGCGACTGTTCTCTGCCGAGCACCTCCATTTCATCCTTGCCGATCACAGCTTGTTCTACAAGTTTAGCTCGTTTCTGAATCGATGCAAGCCAAATCTGGTGCCGAATCTGATCCGCTATCTGGAGTTGCGGAAAGCGATGAAGGCAATCGAATACGCCAACTCTGTCGTGAGAAGCATCCGGTGGCCATCTCACACGGATTCTCACAAGTTCTCGCGCCTCCAAGCTGCGTCTACGGATGTTAGGGTCGAGGACTACGCCGCCCGAGAATTGTTGCTCCTCTGTTCCGAGGCGCTGCCGGCATTTGTCACTCACACGTTGATCGGAGTAGTCACTGATTGTGTGTCGAGAGATATAACTGGGCAAGGAATCCCCATCATGCGAGATCTGGTAGGCAGTCTGGGGGAGGTATTCTGTCTCACAGATCCATCTGTTCACGATAACCCGATCGTGTTCGCGAGCGAAGGTGAGCATTTTCCAACTTCCGGCCCTCGACTTTCCTTCTCGGTGACTGAGGAGGTGGACTGCAGAATTCCACAGGACAACCCAGTACGGCACTTCCTACGCTATCGATCGCAACTGCAGATTTCTGCAAGGGCCAGGTACGGACAAGGATGCTCTTTTGCGGCTCGCAAAAGCAATTACACTTGGCCAGGAGTCAAACGAAGTCATTTTGAACTAGTAAGGATTGAAGCCTGTTGTCCCAAAGCAAGCATTGTTTATTTATTGACTACATACAGTCGCCGCGACGGGACCCCCTTCGTCAACCTCCTTATGTGTTCGCCTCTCTACGACGATAAAGGGATAATACGCTACTTTATCGGTGCGCAGGTCGATGTGACCGGCCTCGTAATCGATGGTCTGGGCATCGAGTCCTTCCGTGCTCTGCTTCACAATGATGAAGTCCAGGAAATGGAAGCCTCCCTCGAAGCCGCAAGCCCGCATCTCCAATCCAAATTCTCCCCCCGCTATCAGAGTCCCAAGACCAAAGAATCACTGCAGAGGTTACAAGAGCTGAGTACGATGTTCAGCCAGGACGAGTCCGACGTTGCGTGCAAGAATGGCCGAAGCTGCGACGATTCGAATGATGGTGCCAGCATCCGATCCAGTGTAACGAATAGCGTGAAGGCTAGGGGACAGTCGAAGCGCGTAATCGGCGGAGATGACATCGGCCCCGATGGCATCGTGCTGAACTTCTCGCATCTACATCTCAAGAACCCTAGCCCCCGGCACAACAACCTGCCTGGTGTGTACAAACACGTAAGTCCATCCATCCTCTCCTCGCTTAGATATCTCTTGCGACCCCCTCGCTAACTTCATCAACAAAAGTATCTCCTCGTCCGGCCGTATCCCAGCCTACAGATCATCTTCGCCTCGCCGTCTCTGCGGCTCCCCGGCCTCCTCCGCACCCACCTCTTCACCAAGCTCGGAGGCTCGAACCAGACCATCTCCGCGCTCGAAGCGGCCTTCCGCGACGGCGCCTCCGCCACGGCCAAGGTCCTCTGGCTGCCCAAGAACGCGTCCCCCGGTGAGCAGCGAGGCCGCGGACCCGCCGAGGTGAAAGTGCGCTTCATCCGCTGCACGCCGCTCCTCGGGAACGACGACCGCGTGGGGGTGTGGATGGTGATCCTCGTGCCGGTGGACGGCGAGTCGCCCATCCACAACGGGTACGGCCGCGACGAGATGGTCGACGAGATGGGGGAGACTAGGAAGCGGTCCGGGGCTGGCAGCCGAACGGGGAGCTCGAGACGGACGCCGAGTGTGGAGGTTGAGGCTGATGGGGGGTTTGGATTGAAGAAGGTGAGAAGCATCAAGAGCAAGATGCCGAGTGAGTGTGGCGTCGGAGGAGGCGGCGGTGGTGATCGCAAGCAGACATACCGGGATACGTCCGTGAACAGATACGGGAATGGTAATAGCACTATGGCCTTGTCACCGGATGAAAAAAATGAACGCGAACTGTACGTACCACCACCGGGCTGGGGGGAGGGAACGGAGATATCGGCACCCCACGTTTTTCATTCCTCTCTCGACTTTTCTCTAACCGAGCCCATCGCTGACTCCCTCGCGTCTAGGTACGCAGAATACATGAGGACGTCAACGAGCACCTCAACAAGCACGGAAGGGAGTTCGGGGAGCAACAGGCCGGATTGAACCGCTTCTTATTATTGCCACTTACTACCTAGCTATTGTTTGAGTGATACCTATTACGTATATCATTATTATTATTATCATCATCATTATCATTACCATTATCATCATCATCATACGTCTGTAAGTCTACCACCCACCCATCTCCGTGGACGACGACGAGCGGACCTCTCGCTCACGGAGTTGGAACGACTCGGAAAATAGGATGGAATAGCTGTGTACGAGAGGACATGTACAACGCAATACACTACAGTACACAACAACACAATACAATACAGTACAATACAGACTCTCCAGTTTCCTTCCTTCCTTCCTCACCACCGCTACCGTCAGTCAGTCACATCATACGAGACCCAATCTCTCAAAGGGACGGAGCAGAGGTTTGCAAAGCAAGACCAGCGAGCGGGAAGTCGGATTATGCGTCTCGCCTAGCCTAGCCTAATCTATCGTACGCTTTCGAAAACAATCTACGTATCCGGCTATGAGGAGTGTCTTGTTGTGATTTGCTTGGTTCTGTTCGGAATTTGGAATGGGGAAAGGGAGAGGGAGTAATTTGGAGGGAGGGGTGGCAGTGTATATGTGACCTTGGAGGGTGAGAGATTGCATAACAAGGAGAGAGACATCAGGTGGGATGATAAGTGATAGCCGACGACCTGTGGGGAAAAGGAGGTAGGTATGAGTAGAGAGAGTATTATTCAGAGACAGGGTGAAGCTGATGAGTTGAAATTGGCAGGTATCTCAACGCTTTTTATACGCGTAGCTTAAAAAAGAAGACTCTTCTCGACCATGATCAATGACTCTAGATCCCGTCAAAACATACAAAGTAGTAACTAAGCGAGTGGACAATTCAAACCTTGCCAGTCATAAGCTCGCTTCCTACAAGAGCCTCCGACGGCGTCCTCCGCACACTCCCATCCTTCTCCGACTTGAGGGTAGCATAGCTTTGCTTGAACAGGAAGCCCGGATGGAAGACATTCAGGACCACCACCGCGACGAAGCACAGCAAGCCGTCGAGGACCAGGAATGACACCTCGTCCTGCATGATGGGGTTCCTCCACCCTCCGGCCATCTCCGCAATCCGGTAGATGCAACGGATGAGGATGGCCACGTAGGACACGGTGATGGCGATGAGGAGCCACCTGAAGCGCTTGGAGTCGCGGAGGGCGTGGTTGGGCTGATCGCTGCTGTGCTGCTGCTGCTCGCCCGAGAACTTGCGGATGCGGAAGTAGACATCGGCGGCCATGAGGCCGAAGATTAAGAGGGTGACGACTTGCAGGACGAGACCGAGCATCATGACGTTGTTTCCGGTCGTCACTTTTCCGGTGCCTCGGGATGCGATGACGGCGCCCGATCTTGGAGTGGTCGTTAGCGAGACATAGGAAACTTTGGAAGAGGGTAAGAGTGAGAGTGAATCCACTTCACTCCACTGCACTTCACGACGCGGCACTTCACTTACGTCTGGATGAGAATTGAAAGTATGTCGCAGGATACAAAGATCCAAGTATACCATCTCGGTGCGAGGCGCGAGAACCGGGAGCCATAGATGATAATCACGTGTTTGAGCGTGAGGTAGATTCCGCCTGCGATGAAAGCCGGTGCCACCGTCAGACAAACCAGCTGGATACCGAGACTTGATCACCGTCCAAGTTGTCAGCATCGAGGTCCGAGGATTCGCACATTCATAAGGTTGAGTTTGGGGTTGGGGTTGTATAGATATATACTAACGTACTAAGATCTGCTCCAAGGGTCATCTCGAAGTAACAAACGGCCGACATAACCTTCACCAGTCCACACATGATCAGCATTGGACTTCTCCCATCTCCCATCTCCCATCTATCATCCCGCAGCTGGATACGGAGAAGTCCAAGACTTACCGGTGGCTTCGCCGAAGCAGCCGATCCCCAGTGCGACGAGGAATGTCCACGACCGGGACCTCAACGCCTGGAAGATGTGGGCGATCATGCAGAGGCCGAAGAGCACAATCAGCACGAGAGTCACGGGCTTGTTGGGATAGTATCCGTAGACGGACTGTTCGACGGTGCAGATATCCTTCGTGCACCGTTGGCCGTCGGCAGCTCGGGCAGGTGGTGCCCGAGACTGTAGCAGCTCTAGCATGACGGCAGTGATCATTGTAATATGATTGGGTCGTGTTGTATTGTGTCGTGTTGTATTGTATTGTGTCGTATCGTGTGTTACGTTGTGCTGTGTTGCGTAACTGACAGAACGAAAGATAGAACGGTATCAACACATGGAAACTTGAGGTTGAAGGATGATGTTGATGATGTTGATGATGTTGATGATGATGTTGACGATGAGCTTGGTTGTCGAGAACGAGGAAGGAACATCCGTCAGCCACGCTCATGGAAAAACGTCATCCCTTTTAGCGAGGGGACCGACCGGTAGGTACATATTCCATGATTTCCGTCCCGTATACCGTACTGGACGCGCTCTGATTGAACGCGTTCCATGGAATGGTATGTGGATGTGGATGCCGACATGGATTATTCCCGAGCCGAGCTGAGCCGTGCTGTTTTTCGCTTGTCCGTGTGTTTGGCGAGTGAGTGGTCGCTTTTACGGGGTACGAGAAGTGGGCGATCGAAGTTCGGGATCGACAGTATGGAAGCGCATCTGATTGGATGAAGGTCCTCGGGAGAGACACACATATATATCTATCTGGATCATGCCTGGCACTTCCGATGTCGAGCCGAGCAGAAGTAAACAGAGCGTGGCATCCACCTTGTTTTTCCTTCTCGCAGAAGAGCTCGCTAAATTTTCTTGGCCAGGCTGTCGAGCTCATAGATGTATATGTATGTATGTTGTACATCACCGGAATCTAGACCATGATCGAACGCCAACGTCAATACAGCCGCCCTCATGTTCCAGTAGTAAGTGTACTACTATACAATATATATATATTATGAATATATACATTAAGATCCACGTCCCCTCCTAGCCGCCATATGCTAGCGCTTCTCCCTCCTCAAGAATAGCTCGTCTCGACTTGCCATAGCCCTCATTTTCTGTAGCCCCAGGTCTCCAGCGCCGGCGGCACTGCCATATATTTTCTCCAGCCTCACCAGGTCTCTCATACCAGCTTCCCGATGCTGGATGTTCGTCTCTACGGTGATAGTCACTACGTTCGGCCGCATGCCACTCATCCTCTCCAGCTCCACGTCGTCGCCTTTTGCCGTGACCATCGTCGTGATGCTTGACTTGCGGCTCAGGTCTCGCAGGCCACGGTGGCACGCTTCCATGTCGGCGATTGGGGAACGGGGGACGAGCCGGGCGGGCATTAAGGGCTTGCTTCTGCTGCTGCTGCTGCTGTCGCTATCTCGGGGAAGGAGATCTGGGTTCGGGGTCGGGAGCGTGGAGGCGTTGTCTTTGGATGTGTTCCAGTGCAAGACCAGGGCGCGGAACAAGACTGGGGCTTGAGGTAAGTGTTCCATGACGGATTTCAGGAGCATGAAAGAGACGCACTATCAACGTTGCAACGCATGAGGCATATCCAGCCCGGTTCTCCCTTCAGTGCCATTGCGACGGTGAGATTTCTGGTGTTTATTAGAGAGGCTTGGAGAGATAGACAGAGAGAGGGCTCGAAATAACTTACACGATGCTGGAAGTCAATGTGAGGTAGCTTCAGATGAAAATCCTCAAAGCGACTGTGCGAATTTGCGAGCTTCGATCGGTTTTGTAAGAGTATAGCGCTTATTCCGATTCAAGTTGAGAAACGAGGGAGCTGCGTAATATTTTACTTACACCGGAGTCGAACTAGGAAAAGAGATGTGAGGTAGACCTATACACATTAGATTGGTTTGTCTTCTGGCAAAGTCTGATTTACATTGACGAGAATGTCGAATGCTATCAGAGGGATCATAGCGACACGCTTGATCTCGATCAGACAGGCTCCATCCTCATAGGTAGCGAATCGGCTACATAATATGATATCAGCAGAGAAACTTGGGATTTATTTGACTGGTTTCAAGAAAGGGTGCTGAATCAAGTCTCCGGAATCCTCTCCGCTGTACTGGTGTAGACCGATTTAAAGTGGTAGCCGAGGAACCCAGAAGAATAGGCGAAACCACCTACAAGTAGAGGTTCAATGCAATGACAAGCAACTAGGGGACTGCAGTATTGATTAGTCGGGACAGCCAAGAAATAAAACACGCTGTTCCTCACCTAGCATCCCACAATAGTTGAACAATTAAAGTCGGTCTTTCATTCTCGAGTGTGTGCTTCTTCGTATGATGAACACCCGCTCCACAAGGAAGTAGTAGATGAACTGGTAGGGGCTTCTCCATTGCAGCCTCAATGGAACACGAATTCGGACAGAAAATGGTAAGAATACTTGAGATATAAGTTGAGAATTTAACGGCTGCTTTACCATCAGCTCGGAGCAAATTAATAGAGCCCTTCCGCGTGACGGGGAAGCGATCGAAGCCAAACAGATGCGTAGAAAAAAATATTAAACTTTGCAGAGTGATATAGGGGACATAGATGGTACTTTTTTTAGGAGAACGATCCCGGATCTTATTGTGGTTGATTTCCCAGTATATGATTCGAGCCGTTGAGTAGCAGCCGGAGCCTTGATGGCGAACGATAAGACAGGTAGCTTTGCTGCAGCCTCTGCATTGCAACAACGCAGCAGCATTGCTAGGCTCTAGCGCCAGGGGAAGGGCCTGCTAGATTCCCGAAATATAGGGGTCTTTTGTACGTATCCGTAGGTCCGAGCAGCACGGGCGCGCAGCAAGCCGCGTGCCACTCCCACGGGTCTGGGTCATGTTTGCAAACGCCATACTCTGGACACCTGTCAGGATTGAAATCTGAAGATAAGAAACCAGTTCAGTCCAATAAACCACCCGCTCCTATCGATTCGTAACAAGCATATGTTAAATACCGCAAATCGTGTGCAGAAAGTAAGACAAAGGTAGCTAGCGATCAAGCCTCCCTCCGCTAAAGTATTGGTGAAGGTTGCGTTCCTGAACCAGCGGTTTGTATACCCAGGGATGACATTTGGCTATTTATTATACGAGGGGGTCGATCTATGCTCTGCGAGCTTGGTGTACACAATACAAGTAGTTGAGTGAATTTGGTGAAGAGAAGATGTTTGTTTACATTGGATTGGACTTAGGAACGTCGACAAGCGGCTTGGCGCTGAGCCGTCAGAAAAGCTTGGTACATGGAATAAGGATAAGTAAGGTTTTCCGACTAAGCTATAAGTGATGTCAATGAAGATCATCTTTGACGGCAAGCCCTCCTGAATCAAACATCAAACATCAAACATCGGACTCCAAACTTCGAATCTCAGACATCGAGGGCCACTTAATCAATCAATGACAAATATACAAGAAGGGGACCTGGCAGTAACACATGTAGAAGTATCAATAGACGAGTAGGCTAATGCTTAGAACCGATCACTTGGAACTTGGACGTAGACATAAAGTGTGATGGATGCACATTCTTAATTATATTATGTATATGTGTATATAAATATATATATCAGCACAAGAATTTGTGTACACATAGGGCATATAGACAATTCGAAGTACCGATTTGCGCAAACCAGGGTCCAGTCGGACGATCTAAGGGCACCTTCCTTGATAGAGGTGCTATGACTCTCATCTGATAGCTCAGTTCCAACTCCAATTCCAGTTTCCATCTCTGGAACAATCAGGAAACTAAATAGTCGTGGGACTAGATATGATCTATCGGTCAGTCTAGCATACGGTATTTTATAAAACACAGTTCACGGATCATCTATCAATTAAGTTGTGATTTGACGTAGACCATTATACACTTTGGCAGTTCCGTCATATTTATATTGATCTTCAATTTTTGAAAATCTCCTTTGACTTCTCCGGCATCGTCTCTTCTCGCTTCTCTTCTCCTCTCTTTTTCTCGCCTTGTTTCTGCTTAAAAGTCAGGCCTTTGCGGTAGGTTAGAGAGAGGAAACCCATCACTTACTTATTTATATTTCTCTACTAGCTGCAAGAAATTACCTTCTCCCTATTAAAGCATTCTTAGCCAACCAATTGCTTATTCCCTTTATCCTACAGTCAGTACAATCATGATCGGACAGGCAGCTATCGCTATAAATATCGAGTATGTACTTCGAGGAGCCGGACGTAATCATTGAGTTTCTGCTGTGCACAGTCTGGGGTACGTCTCGCTATCAGAGCCAAATTATTCTCTATCGCTAGACCAGTATATTGATCTTGATGCAATTATAATAGGTGCTTTCGATATCATATCCGAATTCCTCCCTCGAGTCTCTATCATCCTCTACCGGGTCTACCCCACTTCCATCAGTTCTTGCGCAAGGTCTTCCTGGTATCTTGCATCGCCACCTTTTCGGGCACACTCTTGGAGACGATGGTGACTATGTACCTCTTCGGGACCCTTTGGCCCCGCTGGTCCTTCGGGTTCAAGGTCACCACTTCGCTGCTGCATGTTATCTTCGCCTCAGCCTAGGTCTGAGGTCCGTGGAACTTCTATAGGTCAGTCAGGCAGAACCCACAAATCCCCCCCTTTTCTCAAATATCCCTAGAGCTTTTGTGATTCCCCAGATTGCTCCTTGGAGGGGGAAAACAGACTCTGCTCTTGAGTGAGACACCGATGCAAAAAGAATATCGCTTGCTGACTTTCTCGCTTGTTTGACCGTTCCAGGCTGTATCAGAAGCAGGGCCAGTATATCGCCCAAGAAAACGAACAACGGAACGATCTGGAGTTTGGAGCGCAGAGGGAAGGTACTGATCAGCTGCAACCGGTCGCTGAAGTTGGCAAAGAAGGGGTGCTGCCGACGACCGTGACGGATGTTACCGAGTCCGACGTCTCGAATATGATGGCTCTCTAATATTTTACTTCATGTTGTGACATCAGGGGGAAGGTGGGGGTTCTGGAGTTCTGCATGCATGGCGTTGGGGCCCCGGGGCATTGTGGACGTTTGCTTCTTTGTTTTTGAATGTCGTCTCTCTTCCTCCCTTTCTCTCTATCTCTCCGCGGCGCATAATCTCACATTTCGGCTTGGACACAATATACCATTGTAAATATTATAGAAACTAGAACCGTAGAGCTAGGTAATAGGTAGATTGTAATCTGTATTCATTCTCCACCACCACAACCACCACCATAACCACCACCATAACCACCACCATAACCATCACATCCCCTTGCGCGCCAGCCCCAATTTTTTTTTTTTTTTTTTTTTTTTTTCAACTTTCCAATACCACCCGCAATCGAGAGCTAGAACAAGAACGTGGGGATCGAATGATATAATAAGGAGCCGATCACTTAACGAGAACCACCTGAAGATCACCATTACTGCTGCTGCTGCCCACTCGTTCGAGTTAGCCTTGAATTTCAAATATCTGATCGATCTCGCGAGGTAAATCAGAGAGTTATGGATAACATTTCGTTTGCACTTACCAAATTCCAAGGTTATTTTTGCACGTTTTAGTACTTGCTTACACCAACAACTTGTTTACAGCAGGCAGACCTTAAGTGTTTCCTCAGCTACAACAGTGCGGGAAGATTAGACCATTATGTGTTTTCTCTCTCTTTGCATAGAAATAGCGAAACAGCCAACTCACATGGCTGGCTTCAACAAGACCCGTACGCGCGTTGAACGCAATTCGAGACGGGAGCACCACTTCCGCTTCGCCTTCGAGACTACTTTGATCGGCACCCAGAAAGCCTCTGAATCCCGTTGCAATGATCCCAATTTTAAGTATATATATAGATAAATCTCTTCACTCTCTCGAGCCTGTAGCTCCAGGATCTATGACTCGAGAATATCTTTAAAAGAATAATAATATAGCTGACCTGTTATGCGTAAAGAACTAAATTTCTTCGCTTCAACTTTTCGCACCAATTTTTTTTTTTCGTCGACTTCTTCTACGTTATTCCACGTCAGGCTTCCATCAACTGGCGGGAACTCGGGGTGATAGCTTAGTGGCTTGAACTCCAGGTTCCTATCCAGTTGGTGTAGATTCTCGTGAAGCCCATATGCGACAACCATCACCGGAAAACCTATTCGATTAGGTTTGTAAACTGGAACCTCATAATGTATGAGTTTCCAGTTGGGTTTTGGCTTTTTTTTTTTTTTTTTTTTTTTTTTGCAGCTTTTTTCAATAACAATTTTCATTATTATTCTTTAGCGATGAGAGCGGACGAAGAAGCGGTAATACTATTATTCGTCGATTATTCAAACACCCGACCATACCCTTTTATGACAGTTAATCAAAGAAAAAAAAGAACCTCTAAAAGATGATTGACATAGGAGGGGATAGTTTGAGAACGTCACGCGAGGAAGGAGAAACGAGAAGAGCAAAACCCAAGAGCAAAAATAATGTAAGCGAGAGAAAGAGTAGAATAGAGTGGGAACTCGGGAACCCCCCCCTTTCCTCTCCCTCTGCGCTAAATCTCCCCATCGTCTCCATCGTCATATTCTCCTCGAGAATAGGACTCAGGCTCACCAAAACCCCACTCCTCTCCTCCTCCTCCTCACAACTCCATCATCTCGCTCTTATCCTCTCATCGATTGATATTCATCCATTCCATCTTGCTTCGGAGTTAGATCTGCTTCCGTGTACCTATCTACCGAGCTACCCAAACTACCAAACTGACCCACCTACCCACCTACCCACCCTCAGCAAGCGTTCTTCTCGTATCCATCACACGGAAAAAGAAAAGAAGAGCAAAGTATATATATATATATATATATATATATATATATA